CAAATGAGACAATGTAATGTACAAGTGCCAGGAATCTATGAACGCTGACAGTGTTCCAGAATGTGACCGTGAGGATGCTTTTCTTTCAGCCCTGCATTCAATAAGCACATTTTAAGAAAATTCATTTGCCGTTTTGTTAATAACCCTATCAGAAAGTATTTGATAATGTCTATAAAATGTTACCCTGAAATTATTGTTAGGCACACGTCTAAGATCTTCAGCGATCTCGATAAAAATGATATCGAGAAATGTTACCAGTTCATAGATAACTAATTTTGTTGAGATAAGGTCTGATTTAAGAGGCTCAATTCATTCAGAAGCTAAAAAGTCACAATGCATAAACGTGTGATACGTGACATTTTTTAAGATACTGAAAAAACCACGCATAACTTCAGCAAAGGAAACTGATTAATCAAGCTTTTTATCTTACCGAGTTTCCCTTTAAAAAAAATAGTTGGTACCCTGTTTTAAAGATTTCTAATTACATGACAGGGTATGTCACTGTGTCCACATTGATAACTGGTTTTTCAGTATAAGGGTTAAGAATATTGGTTCCGATAATTTTCTCTTAAGGATTCTGTTGAACCATACATTTACGGACTCAATTAAATCATGAGTTTACACGTCAATGAAGATTCCTCTGTAACTGTATTAATATAACAAGCTCGATCAACTGTAGTTAAACATAATCCATCAATAGTTTGACCTGTTCTAAATAGTAAGACATTTCTGGATGAGTAGTCAGCATAACACTCCTGTTTTGTTGATAGCAAATGCGTGAACGGTTGTATTAAATCACTGAGTTATACATATCAGTCAAATCTGATTATTTAAAGGGTTCAGTGAAAAGAAAATTAATTATGGGGAAAATCAAGTTGATTGTTATAAAGACTTACTTTTGGCACCTAAACAACGATAAACGTATTAATATAACCATACTGTGAAAACAATCTAGTAAAATACGCATACATGAGTGAAAAACTAATATAAACAATTTCCTGACAAATGTATTTAAGCTCGCATTCAAGTCAGTTAATGGTGCAATATTTCTCAAAATGATTTTTTAATCAAGACAACCTGGAAATGACGCATTTTTAACATAAGCGCTTCACTAATAGACAAGATTGTACACACTGGAAGTAACTAATACACCATATTTATCATCTGTTATAAAATGTAAATGACAACAATTATTTGGTGTAATCCACACAGACATAGAGCAGTAAATTCATTAACTTACTTTCAGGGTCTTTCAGTGAAACATAAATCAAGCCATTCAAGGACATAGTGAACTAATCAGAAATTGTAATTAAGCATTTGTTGAATACCACAAACTATGTTTATCAAAACACTTTCCGTAGGCTCAGTGTGATACAACATATATATGACATTATTTTTGAACTAATTGTGTTGAGGTTAGCTTAAGGTATATTTATCTGCGAATAATCGTTACAGAATAAAATGAATGGCCCAGTAGTCATCGGTTTATGTGACAAAAAGTCACCATGTATACGAATATCTCTATATCTCTGAGCAGATGACATTCAATCACTATATGAATGACTAAGCCTTTAAATGATTTTCTAACTTCTGAACACACACATCCAGCTTTAATTCTTTTTACAGTCGAAAGTGTGCGAGGACTGTGACCGGTGGAATCAATTAGGCGCTTTTATCAATGAAACAACAAAAAGTCTCTATTAGGGTATCACTTTTAACGGAAGGAATTTCCAAATTGTCACATGCTGATTGAAGAAACTGAGAGGCTGGGGTCAATCAATAAACATGAATTGCGACAACTCTAGACATCGAAAGCAGTGACCCATTTAACTGAAATGTTGTGGTGAAAATTCTAAAGTCAATTCCATAAATATCTACAGAAACTGTAGTGCAGTCAAGACATGAGTTTCAACTCTAAATATTGTCATTTTAAAAAGAAAAGTATCATGTGTAAGTGATGTCTGGAAAAAAATGTTCCTGACTACCGTTACTAAACTGATGAAGTCTAGATTTCCCATATCACTCAAGACTTTTGCAGCAGACTTCAATCACCACAAGATACGTGGTTTCTGATTTTAAGAAAAAGTTGAAAATATAATTCATTTAAGACTTTCCAGTCGGTTGATTGAATCGATGCGATCGATATCTTTTACTTGCACGCTTGTTGTACAGCTAATTCGGCGACATCTGAGGATTTCATATGAAGAAATATGGTGAGTGTGTCGGTGGCACAGTGGTAGGATGGTGACCGGCCGCGCATATCGTCCGTAGTTCGATCCAGGGCCGAAGCATCCCTTTACCTCGCTCAGCTATTAATAATTATGGCAAATACGGAGGGTTGAGCATAAGGCTAGAAACTCTATCTTATGAAAATCATAACAATTGCTACAGTAAATTCAAGCCTTTAAGTTGAAGCCTAATGTTCCACTGAGGAGGTAAAGGAATAAAAAGTAGTGAATGCTCAGTGTCAAAAAATCAAGGATAGGTATTTCGTCTTGAATGAGACTTTCTATGTGCGTGTACCTGCATTCCTTAATAAGTGATTATATTCCCATGGAGGCTCTAACTCGATGACCATAGTTTAAAATGCCAAGGCTGTAAACACACATGAGAGAAAAATTATAGTCCGATCAAACGACGGAAATTTCACTGAGCATTGAATATTAAATGATGCTTTTAGCGTTACATGTGGCTGACGTGATACAAATGGTCTACGAAATAACGTTTTTCTATTTGAAACTATGTTAATATATGTGTAAAACGTCTGCACTGCGGTAGTGAATAATTCCATATTAGTTTGTTTATTAGATGTATCACACAGTCAGTGAAACAGTATTATTTACTGGATGACATTACGAATGAAATTCATTGTTCATAATCATATCATCAATTATAATCACACAACTTCGAAACTTGAGTTTTATACTTTTCTTTGTTCTCTCCTATTTGTCGTAGAGGTAGTAGAATTATCCAGATATCATGGACATGTGACGAATCATTCCTATTACACGCATTTGCAGTTGATTTGATAAACAAAGCTTCTGCTATCAATCTCTCCCTATACCCTGTGACATTAGATTTCACAACTGTCATCCTATCCCATCATCCTATTGTATGGTTGTGTGTGATTGGATGTAGTTCAGCATAGCATAGATGAGAGTTTTAAAATCTAATGTCACAGAGTATAGGGAGAGATTGATAACAGAAGCTTTGTTCATCGAATCAACCGCAAATACATGTAGCAGGAATGATTCATCACCTGTACTTGATATCTGGAAAATTCTACTACTTTTCTATAGTTTGGTTTGTAAGGGCTTGTTATGTTTTCACGAGTTGATCACGGATTGATATCACTTAGAAAACCATTGAAAACCAGGGAGTACTCGACTGCTGCTGTTTCATCCTAGTTTGGAAATCATTGTCAGTACGCAACCACTGGGATTCGAACCCAGGACCTTCCGGTTACAAGCAAGCTCGTATACTATTCAGCCACTGGGACCGGATTCAATGGCTCATGAAATCTACTACCCCTACAAAAAGTAGGAGAAAACAAAAGGCTACAAAACTCAAGTTTCAGAGTCGTTTGATTACAGTTTATATGACTATGAACAATAGATTTTGTTCGAAACATCATACAGTAAATAATACTGTTTCACTGTGTGATATATCTAATAAAATAAGTGTTATGGAATTATTCGAAACTACAGCTGCGGAATCAGGATCTCAGCAGAAAAAATGACGCTCACTGAAGTGCAGTGCAGCTACCTTCAGATGAATAGTCATGAATTAGACAAAATGTGCATCCTTTATTCGATCACCAAAATACCAAAAGTTGAAAACGTTAGAGAAGTGTGAAAATGGTTATCATCTCTGTGGTGGAAACAACCGTTACCAAAGTGAATGCTTCTGATATCTGATAGATTAGTCAACAGAGATATCAGTGGAGGCAGGCAAATATGAGTTTTCTCCATTTTTCATTGATTTCTGCCAAACTAATAAATTCTAAATGTTCAAAAAGCACATTTGGCTAATTGCTTTCTTCACAGAAAAAATGGTCTTCACTGGAATCAAAAATCACAGATATTTATAAATAGGAGTTTGAAGACATGCATGAGGGGTATTCACTTACTTTATCTGAAACATAAAAATGCTCATTTTCGGACTATCAACACCATCAGACTGAGTATCAAACATACAAAATATGAGCTGATTATTAATAGAATGGTGCTTCTAACTGGATTCATTCTTACAAAGAGTGTGATACACTTGATTATCGATAAACACAGATGAGTTCTTATACCACGAAAGTTATAATCACATGTTTGTGAATTAGCGTGTCTACGACTTTAATTTGGGCAGTGAGCCATAGCGTTATTAGCTTAGTCATCTCTGGCTTTCACTACTTTAATCATATTAAACTAATTCCTGTCGCGAGGATTCTCTGACCTGTCTATTTTCTGACGAAATCCTATGTTGTATGAAATATTCTCGTCTGTTGCTTATCGGCACACGTTCGAATGAATTCGGACTCTCTGAGTGCAATGCAACCAACATCGTTTTTCTCTGAAATAAGGTAACAGTTTTTTGGAGTAACGCAAATACAAATATAACCGTTTTACACTGTGAGACGTTTTCAAAGTAAATTTCATACTTGACGGATTTATACCCTACCGCAGTGCCTACGTTCTGCTCTGATATAAAGAAATAACTGAAAGGGTTGGAAAACGTGTAAAGTGATACAGTCAGGAATGGGTAAGACTGTAAATAAATATTGCCCTTAAAATACCTGTTAGGGATTAATGATTTATTTAAGATAAATTCACGGACAATAGCGCTGACATTTCTGAGATCTTATCGACAGTTCTATTCAAATTACGGTGCTTTATTAAACATAATACCTATCACAGTCACTGAGATATCATAAGAGTATGTAAACTCTACTGAACTGAAGCAGGAAACCGTTTTCTGGACAAATAAGCTGATCTTTATGTATAATGAACTTACTGTATAAATCTGTAGATAGAAACAAAATGGGGCGAGTATATTTAGCCCTGATTTTTGTCTGATAGCTGAGAATGATAGCGCTTAAACATTGTGTACAAAGCTTAATGCATCAAAAAGACATCAAAATCATTCAAAAGAAATTATCTTTGATGTTCATTGAACAACGATATTTGGATATTTTATAACGCTTAATGATAGTCTATCATTAACTAAAACGATTTCCTAGAATAAAAGATAACAAATTCAGTACCTACCATTGTAAGCTGAAATTCACATATTATTACAAATATTGATCGTATTGTATAGTTAAACCGTTCAGATTTAATTTCTTGTCAGGCGCAAAGATATTAAAAAATAAACCAATCGTATTGAATCATAGATTAGACTGTCAAACTGATGCTTGAAATGTGACTCAAAGTAGCTGTGGAAGAGTGGTTCAAATTTGGTATCATCCACAAAATGTTACCTGCTATTTTGTCAACCGCAAAGATAGGCAGACTGAAGTTTGGTGAATGCTTCCACGCGTAGATTCATTACAAAAATGTTTCATAAGTGCTTTCTGAGTGTGTTTTCCTGTCTTTTTGCTCTCAGAACTGTTAAATATAGGTAAACGTCATGCACCACTCACCATGAAGTAAACCAGAATTCGTCAAGCCAAAAATATTACATTTATCACAGTCTGTTTGTCTTAAATTACAGATAGAATTAGTAATTCATGTTTAAGTCGAGCTGTCAGAGACAAATCTCTATTCACAAAATTATTCAGTATTATTTTGATTCGACCAGAGTACATTGGTTGAGTTAATATACCTTTTATCACCTGGAAATATCAACTTTTCGATATATTCAACTTGAATAATATGGGAATCAGAGTGAAACAGCTAAGTGGTATTCTCCGTGCATCATAAAGCATCAAGGGATTCGTGTTTCTTCGTTTCTTTGTTTCAGAATGAAATATATGCATTCAATGATTCATTTATGTTATATCTTTATCGCATGCACAAAGAAATAAATATTGTCAGGTGTTTCATATTTCCACATCACTGAGTCGAATATATAATGCCAGCCAACCAATGCAGCTATGAAGTGATTACTCTTTAAACACTTTCCTTGATCTGCTAGCTTTAAACTTATGTAGTGTGAGGGATCCATTGAATATGTACTATCTGTCGTTTTTGACGTAAGTACAATACTGTGGTCCCGAGGCAAAGAAATTTCCTTTTAATTATCAGGTTATTCAGGACCAGTTAAATGTCTCATATTTTTGCGTCTTGTAGATTACTTCATGAACTGAAAATGCTAATACTGAAAAATAGTTGAACATGATCGGTGACACACTGATAATACTGGAAAAACTTAGAATTCTTACTTTTTCGGACATTCTCTGTATATATGGTGATATTTCAAAGAAAGTTATTTAAACGAAATTTAACTGATTTTGTGTTTGTTTTCTACAGCAGCAATTCTAATCAGCAACAGCATTACTTGAAAAAGATGTATGAAAAAATCCTGTTCAAAACGTTCAATAAATATTTAGTTGAGTCTATTCTTAGTGTTCACAGATTACATTAATTTTGTGGTTTTATGGTGGCCATTGTAATCTGATATTTGATCAGGCACGCCACATATTTATGCTGATATAGTTCGAAAGTCACACACAACAATGTCCTTGGTCAGGAAATATTTGTTTACCTCTATCTTAATTCACTCATGATTACCGACCGAATATATCTACATACATATTGCTTCTCGTGGTATGTATGCACTTCTTCCAGAGGTAAGGTTGAATATACATTATGTCTCATAAAGGCGTGTACTGCTTTGAAGAGATTGAGGTGGAACATAGGACTTCAAGCTAGAGGCTTTAAGTTACTGTAGCAATGTTAATAATTTTTTACAGGAAGAGGTTGCTAGCCTCCTGCCCAACCTTTCCTTTGTACCGATTTTTATTACATGTTTGATAAGGTAAAGGTGTGCGTCGGCCGAGGATCGAACCCTGGATCATGTGCATGGTCGGTCAGTGTGCAAACCACTTCGCCACCGCCTCATGGGGGAATGAGGTAGCTGTTCTATAATGTTGTTGGCGTAGTCAAACCGTATTCGTCATTAACGCATATGACTCCTGCTTCAGTATTGTGTACTATTTCATTCTCAATATTATTTTATTGAAATGAAGTCTCGAGATCACAACACACTGGTTGATGAAAAAAGGAATATTGCAAAACTGTTTCATCTGTTGAGAAATTCAGTGGTGGGCATTTGTTTTCCATTGGGGTGACGGAATACGATGCAGTATCTTCATACAAACCATATTGACCCGGTAAATAATGCCTTGTGTCTGTTCATGCACACAGCACTGGTGCAATAACTAGACACGCACTTTGTAATTCACACATATCACATTTTTTCAGCACAACAGCTAATGTGACAGACAAATTCAAAAAAATGGTTTCTGTTGTATTGTTTATGATATAAGTATACAGGTCGACTGCGTTATCAGTACAGAAAAATAGCAGGCAACTGTATTAGAGACCGCGTGGGAATTAGTAATAAATTTCCTATCTTTCGTCTAACCTCACAAACGTGAGGATTGAAGGCAGACTGATACCCGACAGTGAAATCAGTTCAACGTTTTGTAAACAAAGGACATTTCATTGAAAGTTGGTTTTATCTTCTATGCAATGTTCAAAATAAATTTATCCACTTCCCACCAGCTGTCTGCCTAAATAATATTGATCAATGGCTACTGATAAGTGGTTTGAGAGTGTTTAAACTTGATGTTATACTAGACAAAAAGCAGATAGTGAGTCACTGTGAACAATAAATAAAGCGCGTTTGATACCCCACTACAGCAAAAAAGCCTTTATTTAACACATGCTCATGTCAATCATCAGTCCTCAGTGGAACTAATGCTCCTAGTTTTATTTGCGAACAGTTGGCTGATTTCAAAGCAGATTACATCACAAGCTCGTTCAAATGAAGGCAGATCAAGATACTGCAAGAAAGAAATTTATGATGACAAGGGAGGTGATATCGGATTTTGTGGGCATGATAAAGCGACATTTAGATAACTGAATAACTGTCAGATATAAATCTCAATTTTTTTAAATAAAGTTGTTCAATGATATTACGAATTTTACCATCATTCTCTTTGACACCTACAAAGTAAAAATTGTGAAATTGACATCTGAAATGCTCTAAGCTCTTTGATATGATTTCAAGTCAAAAACATAAATTTAAAAAGTATGAATTAGCGTTTTTAGGCCTTACTTGTCTTTGTAACTAAAAAATATAAAATGTTTAAACAATTTGAAGTCATCAGTGATAATTTAGAAATGCTAAGCTTAGACGATCATGTTTTCGTTGCATGTCTTACAGTGAAGATTTTGGTTCTTCAGAAATTTAGACTTTCACCCGACAAAACTTTAGCAATGCTTACAAACGCCACAATGCTTGGATTTATTGTTAATGTATTCTTTTTGTTATCATTTCTTTACGGTTTAGGTGGATAAAAGACTTAAAAACCGAGCTTTGAAGTCTCCCCAGGAGTGATGCGTACTATTTCTAGCCTCACTTGAACCTGACTTACCAGTGAAATGCATCAGACTCAGATAAAACCCCCGATAGAGTGTGGTATGGCTGGTAAGAATGATACAGATGAACCACTGACGCACATCAGTACTGTAATAAGAATGATGTTGTTACCACAGATAGATATTAGATATGATAGAGAAGATTTGTATTATATAATGTACACCGCAATATATAAAAACCATGAATCGTAAAATATGTTCAGTTGACATCTAAACATCATCCGTGAACATTAGATACTCTCTCGGTGTGCAGTCAAATAAGCTGATGAAATTAATCAGCTTCGCAAGAAACGTTCACTAGCAATTAGTATGACGTAGTTTGTCTGTTGCAGGGATGAATATATTTATCTGTTACCTTTGACATTCACACAGTGTCATGTAGTTCACATGACATAATTAAGATGAGACTGTCTTTCATCTATGCTCATCTGATTATAAGGGATTGCAACGCAAAGCGGGCTTTGGACATACTTACCTCTAGTTAAACCTGCCAGTAGAATTTAAAGTCACGTAAAAATACATTTTTTGTGTTATGTCTCTGTCTATAAAGCATTTCGACGATTTAGATTGCAAAGTGATTAAGTGCACACCACAAATGTTTAACTATTTATCTGAATGAGTGTTTTTGAACTTAAGATTTCGTGGTTTTACATAACGAATTGTCATAAATTTTAATAAAAGTCAAATTACATTTGCCTCATTGTTCTAACACGCTTGGCGAAATTGGTATTATCACTGCTATCAGGATGTTACTATCAGATTGAATGGGATTTTAACTGACTCGAATCATTACTGTTTAAATTGACTCCATTGTACAGTGTCCTAATCTAAATCTATACATTTCTAAATTTGTTTTGTTGTCATCACTACTGAAGATAAAATGAAGGTAGAGCAGACTTTCGACCTAATCTCTACGGAAAGCTTTCAGATCTCTCATCTCGAAAGTTTCGGCTTAATTTGCTTTTTTCCTGTTTATTGATAGTTTTCGCAATAATAATTGGATTCCAAATGCGTGCCTCATTCACACAAATCAGAATAACTCATACAGTTATGGGTAATTAGTTTTGTTTGATTATACCTTGATTGTATACCTTATTTTTGGTACAAGTGTGGAATTTCAGGCATGTGATGTTGATAGCCAAAATTTCATAGGCCGATCATTGATGTCAGGTGTGCGTTGGCAGGGACAATGTGCACGGTCGGCGAGTGTCCTGACCAATGTTCCACCGACACACATTCAGTGTGAAATAAACGAAATTATCAGAGTATTTATGCACGCATCACAAAATTGGTAAGTTGTGGCCATGAAAACTTGTAAGGTAACTTGAGAGTATTGGAACAGATGCAATTACTGATTTCCAAGATAACAGTTGTTTTTTTTATTCCATTTATCAGATCGCTCAATAAGAACACTGTATGATTTCTGCATCTGGGTCACGTAGTGAACTGAAATACGCGACCACTGTAAACCACGAAGTACCGAACAGCTGCCTTAATTTCAAATTTTCCGCAGCCCTTGTGTGTTATTCAACCTACTATCTGTGTTTAATACAAGCAGTCACTGCAAACAAACAAATAAAATCCCAGATTGAAACGTTTTACTTACAATCAACGAGCTGTTGCACTTCTGTGTAAATATGTGTAAAAAAGAGTGTTTCAGTAACCATTTCTAAAGTAATGCGATTAATTCACTTATGTCCTACGGTACGGTTGAGGTTTGGAGATAAGAATCAAATTGAAGGTATTTCAAAAATAATTTTACCGAAACATTGGGCTGTCAAAGAACATCCTTTAAGCAAGGTCTAATCACATTATTTTTTATGAGATAATTATAATCAAAACCTGATTTGACAATGTGTAATACATCAAAATGAAAAATTGTGTATCCTATGTTGATGTGAATATGCGTCGCAGAAACACGCACACCTCTTCTACGATAAACTTACATGCCACTAGAATTTCTGGTGTGCCATGAGTATTATTTAGCGGTAATAAACACATGCAAGTCAGAAATGAATCATTTAATCACCATCACTTACTTTTGTCGTAATCGGCCTCTGCATTTTATTTGTACGATAGGAAGTGCCGATGAAAAATAATATTATGCTTTTGTGAGCGTTTATTTGTTACACTAAAGCTTTTTATCAATGTGACATACAATAAACAATACGCAACATTCAAAGTTATCAGGAGAACATCAAAACATAATTCATCCGAGTTATTATAAAGTGTTTGTGCACATTCTAACGCCTACTAAATGATATATGCATTTCTCCCTCTGTTTCAGCCAAACCTTTCAATTGTGGTTGGATTCATTCTGGCTGCTTAGCGTACTATCATCCTCAACTCATTTTATATTCATTTTGCATAATAGACTAACTGCATCAACGAATGACGAATAATTATTGCATGCCAACTATCAATAATCGCTCGAAAATACATATAAAATTCTGAATACTTACTTGCATCTGCCGATTATTGAATTGATTAAAAATGCCCATTAAAATTTTTAAAAGGGGGATTCTGAACGAAGAGTACTCTTTCGATAACTTCATGATCAGGCTCTACAGTAATATATATATATATATATATATAGTATATATTATTGTGAATGAATGAATCATTGTTATGAACAACATTAATGCGGTTTAAATAACGTCAAATAAATAAATAACATCCATTAACCAATGGTGAACGTTCATATAAATAGAGCCTTTTTTTGAGAAACAGTTGTCGTGATTAGATTCGTATGAGAACAATTGTCCTTACGCATACTATCCAATTACTATTACACGGAACAATTATATACAATTCTATATGTTAGAATTGTCTCAATAATATACTAATTCCTGTTGTGACATCATGAAGGTAATTTGCAGCGAGGAAAATCGTATCAAGGAATTTATTATTAGGCTCTACAATCGTATAAATATGTCATTTTTATAAGAAATTGCATTTGGTGAGATAATTGATTCTAAGGTGTGAACACACGAAATGATGATTGTATGAAATGCAATCTAACTAACTGTGATTAAAACTATAGTTAAATGTTAAGCGGCATGTATGCATGAAGTCTATATCTACTGATAGATGCTGATAAGATGGATACAAATATTAGTGTCATTTTCGACTTTACACAACAAGCCAGTCCCCAAGCTAAAAGATGCTATACGATTGAGTATATTCCATTTAGGTGCATAAGTGACTTGAATGAAAAATAAGCGGTAGCATCAGCAATCATTATAGATGGTGGTATACATAAGCCGCAACACTGTCTATTCTGTTTTGATTTAGCTTGAACTCTGAAACTCAGGTTTGAGCATAAAACGTCTTATAATGGGCCAAAAGGCATGAAACAACCAACCTAGAGTAACTCTGTTTTCATTGGTTTGCAAATCTCAAACCAATGCATTCCAAAAAAAGACAGATTTCAATGAAATTAAACTATCACACGAAGGTATTGAGGATAAAGAAAATAAACCAGCGAAATCAACCACTGTTATTTATTCTCATTTCACAATTTACTGTTTTATTTGAGATACAGATGCTGTTGGAAGGAATTCTGTTTAGTGAAGCCGTGTAAACCACACAACGTAAAACATAGAGAAATCTTTCTCATTCTAAACATTGTCGCATTATTCCTATCACATTTAGCTCAACCACATTTACGCATTCATCCAACTCTTGTTGTTTTAACTAAAGTCCAAAAGCTATCGCATACAAATCACTTTATTATTCTTTTTTTTGTTATTGTTTATTCAAATAAATCATTTCCATCCACAATGCTTCTCACTTCTTCTCATAAACATGTACATACATGTTATCTTGCTTCATTGTGATGAGTGTGAAAACGAATTGCCATATGGTTAAAAGAGAGTCAGGTTGACCACAGCATGGAATTGTTCACCGCACTACCAAATGAAGTGAACGAACATTATCTTCTGTTGACATTTCCATAACAAAAATAATCATACTACTAGTGAGTTCTGTAAACTGAACACACACACGTGCGCATTGTTTACAGCCATCCATCTGAAGATAAAAAAAATACTGATTTGACTTTTGGGCATGTATCTTGGCAACAAAAGTTACTAATTATGGCTGTTAGTGAGAAAAGTAGAAGCTCACAGGTAGAAGGTGCGTCGGTGGTATAGCGGTTAGGACGCTCGCCGACCATGCATATGGTCCGGGGTTCGACCCTCGGCCGGCGCACTCCTTTACCTCACTGAGCCAGAAATAATGCTGGTAAAGAGGAAAGGTTGGGCATGAGGCTAGTAACTCCATCCTGTAAAAATTAAACACTGCTACAGAAACTTCAAGCCACTAGCTTGGAGCCCTATGTTCCACTGGGAACGTTAAGAAAATTCATCATCATCACACAGGTAGAATGTAATCTCTCTTTCTATTGTTGTGAATATTTTGTAGCAGCAAAGACAATTATGCAAATAAGATAAGAAAACTTCATAATATCTGGGTACGTGACTAGATGAGACGTTGTCTCACATGTTCATAAGTTGTTGCCGATTGAGCAAAGTATTGGATTCATTGTTTATTCATATATATCCAACATCCAATAACATGAAGAATCATTCTAAGATATGCTGTTGTATTTATTTGAGAGTGTTTGAGAAATGTATGGGAGAACCTCATCTGATATTTGACTTCATTCCCTGGATTATTTGAAGGACCCGTGCAGCTTCACTCTGGGATCATTCACAAACATGTATTAATATTACAAGTATCAGTGAGTGCTTAATATGCGAATATTACACGGTGGTTCAGTGAAGGGGCACTATTTCCTTCTCAATATTTCGTGATTATTGAGTGTTTGGCTGATTTTCAGTGTTCCATTGTGTTTATCGCTCTCCCTGGACTAACCGATATTTGGTATGACGTATCACACAGGATTGGCACAATGAATGAGTTAGACGTCTCCCAATATCTAAAAGCGTCATTCTAATAACTTAAATGATTTTGAGGATCTCTATATTTCGGAACTCACTAGACAAGCCCTCGAGTGGAACCCGAAAGGGAGGCGGCGAGTTGGTCGTCCAAGGATGACTTGGAGGATGTCATGCGAGGAGGAGATGGAAGCATGTGGACAGACCTGGAGCAGGGTGAGAAAGTTGTCAGAAAACCGAAGGCAATGGAGGTGCGCAGCTGTAGCCCTATGTTCCTCTAGGAACTAAAGGATACAATAATAATAATAAATAATATTTTGGAACACACAGACCAAACTTAACGTCTATAATCCTTAAAGCAGTTGCACTCTAACTGATTTTACTTGAAGGCAAGAATACACAGGCTGATACCCCATGAAAGGCACCACGCCTTAAAGCTCATCAGAAGTTGTCATTGTCAAAATAGATCGCTTCACATCTTATCGAAATAAGTCAAGCGTAAAGCAAAATATGCGTAAGTTCCAGTGATATCTCAGGTGGCATAATATTCATAAATTGGAGGATCAGAATCCAAACATGAAATGGGAAAGACTAATGAAACCGGCTTAAACACATACAAACAAACTTTTAAATATCAAAGGAGAAAAACAAATCGACCAGCAAAATTATGTGTAACAGGTTCACTACGAAGGTGATATTCGGATATATGTAGCATAAATAAATGTCTGTGACACAAAATTTCGATTATATAAATAGCATCTCTGATTTGTGATTTGGTCATGTTCAGTCCTTCGCCTTACAGGAATAATGGGAATAAACTTTGTCACAGTACAGCGCAAACAACGCGAAATAAGATAGACGAAAATTATTATAGTTATCTATTTATTTCAGTTATGATTATTCAGGAAAAAGGAACAGTACTTCTGCTAGAATGTGGAAATCTCTCTAAATAAGGCATATAATTCCTACGATATATTTGCGAAGATGACGAACTGCTAGTGGATACGTTATGTTACTTGTCATCACACTATATCTGTCTGTCTATCTGTTTTCGACATAGAACTTTGCACATATATGCGGCAGTTCAAGTCGCCACACTCCCTCCATGTACCACACAAAGCAAGAGAAGAAAGTAGAAGAAATGCATGATAGAGACAGTAAACAGAGGTGTGAGACAAAGGAAGAGTAATAACGAAGAACAAAACAGTTACATTGAAAATCATAAGTCACAAGGAGTGGGTGCATCTACGCCACTGAGAACGATTTTGAGCCCTGTCACCAATTGTTTCCAACCACTGGATTTTACTGTCCAGAGGACTCCAACCAAGGAGTCTACACCTCCCTACGTGGCTCTGATTAACTTTCGGACACAAATGTCAAAGTCAGTGCTACTATACGGATCAGAGACTTGGCGAGTCATAAAGAGCATCTCAAACAAACTTCAAACCTTCATTAACAGCTGTCTCCGCTCAATACTCAAGATCAGATGGCCAGAAAAGATCAGCAACAGGGATCTCTGGGAGCGAACCAATCAGGAACCGATTGTGAAACAAATAGGCAGAAAGAAATGGAGATGGATTGGCCATACGATGAGGAAACCATCAAGTGACATCACTAGACAAGCCCTTGAGTGGAACCCGAAAGGGAGGCGGCGAGTTGGTCGTCCAAGGGTGACTTGGAGGAGGTCATGCGAGGAGGAGATGAAAGCATGTGGACAGACCTGGAGCAGGGTGAAAAAGTTGTCAGAAAACCGAAGGCAATGGAGGTGCTCAGCTGAAGCCCTATGTTCCTCTAGGAACTAAAGGATACAATAATAATAATAATATTTATTTATAGAGCTTTAATGTCGGAATCTATAAGAAGAAAGCAATTACACTTTAGAAAGAGCAATTTCTTATCTCAAGCAAATTGTCAAAATGGTATTTGTTTATGACCACACACCTTCATTTCTGATTTTAGATTGGGTCATGTTCAGTCGCTCATTTTGGAAGCAATATGGGAATAAACGTTTTCGCGATAGATTGTAAACAAAATTTACTTCAACAAAAAATAATTTGGACGAAAATGTATCATGGTTATCTTTATATTTCAGCAATAACCATTCAGGTGAAAAGAGCAACAGTTCTTCTAAATAGGTGACAATATCTCCAAATGGAGCACATAATGCATTTGATGTTTTGTGACGACTGAAACATTGAATTTCGACAAACTACAGATTACGTCGTGATACCACTTGTCATCTCATGCTATCAGAATTATTCAGACACCCAACACAGAATATATATTTTTATATTGAGCTGGATAATAATAAATAAATGAAGCTTCATTTCAGTCCTTACCTGGAGTAACCTTTGGTACGGCTGAAGATAATTGTAATGAATAAAGAATTTTCTTGCTACTTACATTTCTGTTATACATAATACGTGAGAAGCTATCTAATGAAGTCGTATAATACTGATATTCAACAAGTAATCTCTTACACATTACCTGAATAGCAAATAAAGGCTTATGTACATGGACGCCTAATGATGCACACCGAATATCTGCAACTCTATGGACTTCATCTTTTCTCTTCACGTTTTAAAAAAATACACCTTGTGAGTGATATTATATCATAGTGTTGAATCTGCGATGTTCATTCGAAAATTCTGTCTTTGTAGTCTTGGCTTTACCGACAAACACTAGCAGAACGAACCGGTCACAGTTAACAAGTCACTGGTTATTAAACTTGAAGGTGATTATCATTCCATATCAGAAATAAACTAACTATGTCAATATTAATTAGCTGACAACTGCTTGTTGCTAGTGAACTGCCTCTCATGTCGCATTTTGCTTTTTAGTGAGAATATGCCTGAAGCTACTGGAATCTCGTTGTGTTTCAACTCTTTCACGGTGATGATGTTAACTTGGAGGAACAGCTGCTCACGAGTGATTTGTGGGCAGAAATCATCACAGAGAACTTTAGCATTTTAATTTTCAGACGAAATTTAACTATGATGCACAAGCATGCTTTGCATTCAAACTCGCTTACATAGTAAGCCAAGAAAATATTTGGAACCAGAGTAAATAATTTCATGGCGCTTGAGTTCGTCCACATTATTTTATCGTGTGATTCAGTTTATAACGAGATAAGGAATGATATATGAATGCGGGTTCACCTAGGTCCTCACCTGGTGCAACTGTTGTTTTGACTGAATCGAATTACAATGAATAAAGGAATTGTTAAACCGCTTACATTCCCGTTATGCATAATAGGCACGAAGCAATCTAATTAAATGGAATAAGACTGGTGCGCAACACGTGGCCTCTCCAACTTAAATACACAAGCCTGATATGCGATCAAACTCGTTGGCATATTATGCCAACAAAACATTTACCAGCAGAGTAGCTCATTTTACGATCCTTGTTTTTTCCACTATTTTTTCATCACGTGAGTGTCATTCGAGTGTAGTTGTGTTCCCTGAGGTGTATGATTTAGTCGCCAAGCCTTCATTGTCTCACTTGGTGATCTATACAGTGCATAGTTGAAAAGAAAACATTTGAATTTTTCACGAGTTGAGCAGGTATCTCTCTCCTAGTAATCTTGAACGTGGTTGGTTGTATTCATTTACCTCCTCACCTTCTAGTCTGCGTGCATTAATTTTCAATGTCTAGTTGACCTGAAATTAGACCTGTGGCTTCTGTGACTGCCTTCTTATGCACTCGGTAATCTTCTCTACGCCAACGTGTTTGTTGATTGCCAAACCACCTGAACGACAGGCTTCTTGCAATCACCTCGTGTTTCTGGTGTTTTCTTTGTCTTACATATAAACATTGCTGTATGGGAATAAATGTTGGCGAAATCCCACTTAAACGATCTAGTCACAATATAGATATTTATTGTGACTTTCCAACTAAATTCATAATTACGAAGTTACTCAAAATAAACCAGTGTGATTTCAACAACTTTAAACCAGACTTTTCTGAATGTTTCTCTGTGTAAGTGACAGTTCATCAAGCAAAAGTTCACCGTTATCTTCTGAAAACTACTAGTATCCAGAAAATTCGCCACAGAGTCAATCGTTCAGTAGGTAGATGTAGACAGAAATGGATTGATGGCTACGATAGTCGTGAAAACTAAGTAATTAACTGGACAGAAAATCTCACAATTTCTTCTTCATAACGATGTCGTCGTTCCTTTGAAGAGGAACGCTACCGCAGCATAACGCTGGTTCATTGTGAATAACTGTTCATTTCAACTTCATCGTCTGCCTCCAGAGCAATATTTTATTACTTTTCACTGAATTCACTCCAAATGTCCTTGTCTAGTTATTAAAATCGCGAACTCTTGAGTCATCCTGATAAGTCTGAAAGTAGAGTCTCGTATGATGAGATGGCAGTGAAGTTTACTCCAAAATATCGCCGTATACGGGGAAAAAATTGTGATGTTTCCTACACACTTCAATGTTAATGAAAACACAACATTCTTCAAAAACAGAAGGCACAGATCTTCGCAGTCGGAAGCCATCAAGCTGATTTAACCAATACTGATTCGGAATTTTGTGCACATCCAGCCAACAAAGATGCTTGTAATAGTATGAAACACAACAAACGATTTGATAGGGAGTGTGTGATTCAAGTATGCTTGTCAGCTATTTCTCAATTAACTAATCTAATTCATGCTGATCGAGGTACAGAGAAAAGTGGAAGTATTCGAAAAGAACAATTGGCATGGAATATCAACCAAGGAATTATTTAGAGAACATCTTAAATAGTTTAGAGTCTACAGCATGCTGGTCATACCAATACACGTTTTTGTTATCTGATGACATCAATATTCGACTTGTGATAGACATGTGATTGGTGCCATTCAGAAGAGAGCTAATGAACTTGAACATTTTAGGAGACTGTTAGTTTGATGACTCAGAATTAGAAGCCTTGTCGTTTCTTGGAACATTTCTTGTCCTTGCTGATACTATTCTCATTGTTATTATTCAATCACCACAGAATGAGAATTTATTATTTCCTGACAACTTAATTCTTGTAGACTTCTATTTCCAACAAAAGATGTCTACTTTTGGACATAATATGTTAGACAGGATAAGAATAGAGATTTAAAAGGTAACTTCAGTTATTGCTGCGGCTTTGTTGTCTTTCTACGCAAAATAGGCATCTGTCGCGTAATATCAGCAGATGTGGATGAGCTGGGCAGACATCAACAAAGAGAGTTAACTCGGCGGCAAAATGAACTAGTTAGCATATTCAGTATATCTGTGATTAATATATATTGAATGTAAACTGTTACAAAAGTCAGCTTCTTCGTATAAAGCATGCGTTTAAACAGGAATAATTCTATTTGAAACTGATCAGAAAAAAATATTATGTGGAGAATTACCAAAGAACGCAATCAATTTAAGAAAAGCGTTTACTCACCAGCAGAACCGCCTCCTAAAGTGAAGCATATATTGAGGAATAAAATAGTTGACACAAGCCAAACGGGAACTCATGATATCCGCAAATACTCTACGCAGTTCATTCAGTTGACCTGCATATTTTTTTTTGTTGTTTTTTTTATTTTTGATTTACAGCTTGATTCCACACTGTATTTTTGGTACAAGTATGGAATTTTCAGCATGGATATCGGTAGCCCAAATTTCGCAGGCCGACCATAGATATCAGGTGTGCGCCGGCGTGGGCTTGAACCCCGGACCATGTGCATGGTCGGCGAGAGTCCTAACCACTGTGCCACCGACGCACAGTTCGCTAATTTACTTTACTACATCAGATATACTCCACATTTCTTCATTTCAGCCACACTCAGCTTCAGACATGACTTAGTAAGACTTGTTCAGAATGAATAGTTTGTGGAAAGCAACAAAGTATTACAATCCTTCTTTAGACTATAATGCTCACCACCAACACGTTTTCCAACAGTGAAGATGGCAAACATAAATGCTACCAATCTCATGGGAATCGTTTTTAATCACACATATGGAAATGCTGAGTATGATGCTTTTAACAGAGTTTCCATTTAACAAGAAAGGAATCAGACTACAGCATTCCTTTTATGTCAGGCTCCATCATAACACAGCAGCTACACATTACAAACAACATTGTCATATCACGAGCGAATCGTGAGGATTTTGTTCGTTTATGACCACAGCCCTTCATCTCTGATTTGTAAATTTCTCATGTTCAGTTGACCGCTTTATATGCACTTTGAGAACAAGGTCCGACACAGTCAATTGCAAACAAGACGAACGATATCACGTTCATCCATTTATTTCATTAAAAATTATTCTGATAGAAACAAACAACATTTCCTTCAAAAATGTCGCAGAACCTCTACATGCGGCGCATAATGCATTTGATGTTTTGTAAAAGACATCAAAATCTGACATACTATAGATTATTTTGTGATTTTACATGTCACCTAATCCTATCACATTTTTACGGACGCCACTGCGGCATAACACTCGTAAGCTGTAATTAACTTTGGGCGTCAATTGCTTTAATTACCTGCAGAGCATAAATGTATTACTATTTATTGAAATCACTCTCAATGTCATTGTCTTGTAATCATCCTCGTCTATGAACTATTCCAAAATTCTGAGGAGTCTAAAAACAGTGTTTCATACGATGAGATGCTAGTCAAGTTTACTCTAGTATTTATAGCCATATACCGAAGATAGAAGAACTACGTATTATGTTGTTCCGAATGCTTTATTCTTTGTCTTCCTGTTTCTGATGGGAATAACGCATAAAGTCACTGCATTGTATACTATGTTTACATGTAACATTACACCATGTATGATACTGGCCAAGCTGCTCAGATTACAGACAAGCTAAAATGTTTGATATCCAAGTGCTGAGAATATGCTAATTTAGACGGAATGGGTGTGGACTCGAAGGCTAAAAACGGTAGAGTCAATGATCTACTGTGGTCATCCAGAAGACAACCACGAGCATAACAATGATTTGGCTTTCCAAATGTCAACAACAGCAACGAAAGCCCTGATACAATGAGCGGTCATCTCGCCAAGGCTGTTGACCGACAAATTCGACTCTACAGGAATTAAAGTGAAATTTGTACAACGCTATGCACCTACGCATACGTCAAAAAAACATGCACAATACTCCAGTCTGAGATATTATTAGTAATGGTGTACATGAACGCCAAACTGTTGCCAGATGAAGTTCACCATAGTGGATGATCATGAACACAGGAAAGATAAACAATATAATGTTCTATTCACACTTCAGTAATGATGAAAACACTGTGTTCTTCGAAAGCAGAAGACACACAACTTCACAGCTAACCACTGTCTAACTGAATTGAACCACTACTGATTTTGTCTTCTGTGCCCATCCAACCAACAGAGGTGCTTGTGTTGATAGCAAAACCACAAACGATTAAATGAGGAATGTGGTATTCGAGTGAGGATGCCAACTATTTGTCAGTTGACTAATCTAATCCATGAAGTTTAGGTCATTGAGAAAAGTAGAAGTATTCGACAAGAACAATAGGCATTGAACATCAAAAAAGAGATTATTTAGTGAACAATATAATTAGTTGGGAGCTGGTTGAGCTGGTCATATCAAAACACGTTTCTCGTTTCTGACGAAATAAATATTTGACTTGTTACCATTCTCTGATTGGTGCCACTCAGAAGACAGCTTTTGAACTTGGAGCTGTGAATTTGATGATACAGAAGTAGATGACTTGAGCTTTGTCGTTTCTAGGAACATTCCGTCACTAGTTTCCTTATTATTAGATCTACACAGAAAGCGACTAATTTCTTGCACACTTCTATTTCTAACAAAAGACAAAACATGTTAGCCAGGATAAGAATATAGTTATGAAAAGCGACTTGAGATATTAATGTTGGCTTGTTATCTTTCTACGCAAAATAGATATATGTCACGGGATATCATTAGATGTGGATGAGCTGGTCAGTCATCGGCAACTAGAGTTTACTTAGTTACATAATGCAATAGTAAGAATATTCTACATGTATTTGGCATATATATTGGATTTTATATCTCACAACAGTCAGCCAATTTGTATAAAGTCCGAATCGAAACATAAATAATATACATAATGAAAATGCGCAAAAAGATATTGCATAGCTAGTGAAAAATACGACACATTCATTTAAACGAAAACCTTTACTCACCAGCAGAACCACCTCCTAAAATGACGCAGACACAAAGGGATAAAAGAGTTGACATGAGCATAAAATCTGCAAGTAGGTCACACAGTGCATACATGTGTTCTGCATTACTGTGTAGTTCACTGATGTACTTAATTTCGTCAGAGATTCTCCTCATTTCTTTTTATTTCGGTTACACTTCAATTCAGAGAAGCCTGAGTGAGGAAGTAATATAGTCATTCGTAAATCTGCAATACTCACCATCAACAAGTTTTCCATTAGCGAATGTGCCAAGCATAATTGCTACCAATCGCGTGGAAATCATTTTCAATCACATCGAGAAATGCTCACGTATGTTGCTCTAAATAGGCTTTTTGGTCAACAATTAATGAAGAAAATTACAGTGTCCTCTGAAACCACATTCCATCATGACACAGCAGCAACACATGATACAGAACACTTTCTTATCTCGAGCGAATAGTGACAATTTTGTTTGTTCATAACCACATGTATTCATCTCTTAATGTATATATATATATATATATATATATATATATTCAATCTTTCGTGCATATGTCTTAGCAACAAATGTTGGTAGCGAGAAAAAGAGAAGCAGCCACTTTTCTTTCTTCTTCAACAAAGTATATTGGCGAAGACAACCGTATAATTTAGGCTGGAACACTACATAAAATATTGATACGTCGCTAGACGAGTAGCTGCCCACATGCAGGATTGCATTATTCATACATGTTGATGAATAACACATTTATCAACTGAAATGTTAAATTGTCCTGGTAATGCATTCAGCGTGGAGTAATGACTTTATCAAAGCACATCCAGTTTCCATTATTCCACAATTTAAACAACGGCGTTTGACCTACCAGTAGAACCGCCTCCTACAATGACGCAAACATGCAAGAATAAAAGAGGAGACACGAGCTAGTCCGTCATCAGCAACCAAAGAGAAATCGGTGACATTATATTAGTTAGTATATTCGAAGTCAGCGGTTAAAATAGAGATCTTCTTCGATTCAAGCAAGACTTGAAACAAAACTACTTTATTCCGAATCTCAGCAAAAATGAGATTGTAAAGAGGATGACGTATTAGCACAATTGTTATAAAAACAGCGTTTAACTCACCAGACGAACCGCCTCCTACAGTGAAGCAAACAGAAAATAATAAAGGAGGTGACACCAACCACACCTGAACTCATGGTATCTGCGAATAGGTCACACATTTCTTTCATGTGTTCTGCATGACTGTTTAGTTCACAGATGTACTTCATTTCGTCAGAGATACTCCTTTTTTCATTATTTCAGCCACACTCTTAATCAGGCATGAATTATCAGGATTCCTTCAGGATGAAGAGTTTGTGGAAAGCAATAAAGTAATATAATCATTTGAAACCCTGTTCAACACGCTATCAACAAGTTTTCGAACAGCGAAGGTGGCAAACATAATTACTACGAAATGCGTGGAAATAATTTTCAAACACACTTTGGGAAATGTTCAGTGTGTTTTTTAAATAGGCTTTCTGGTCATCAATAAACGAAGAGGATTTCATTGTTTATGTCAGACTGTATCATAACACAGCAGCTACACATTAGAAACAACAATCTCTAATCGTGAGAGAATTGTGATAGTTATCTTGGTTTATGATCACATCCATCTATCTCTGATTTGTGGTTCGGTTATGCTCAGCTGGTCGCTTTACAAGCATTAACGGAACGAAGTCTGTCAGAGAAGATTGAAAACAACACGAAATAATATGGACGAAAGGAAATCACGTTCATCTATTTATTTCTTTGTTAATAATTCTGGTTGAAAAGAGCCATAATTCTCTTTAAAGTAATGCATTCTATCTTAATAGGGCTAAAATATATTTCGCGAGATGATATCATTTCGTAGTTTCTGTACAACCGCTTTACAACTAACATGGTTAACAATAATAAAACAAAGTCCATGACATTTACTCAGTTAAATTAAAAACACAAAAGTACATACTGATGACCAATCATATCACTTGTCACAGTAAAGAAAAACCACATCTCGAAAAGATAGCTTCTTTACCAAAGAAAGCTATCTTCACTAACCTACCATTCAAAGGCGATCAGATTATGCAGTTGACAACTCAAAGACTTCGGTCAGCTATCAAACGCAAAATCTGCGCCGCATCTCTTTTTCTCACTTGCCGAAGATTTTCGATCCCTGTTCCTACGATTATAGGACGAAATTCTGTGGACTCTACTTGAAACTGTATCTACAAGTTCACCTGCAGCTGCGGTGACACCTGTATAGGTAGAACTAACAGAATGTTCCAATGTCATCGTCGAAAACAACATATTCCAAAATGGCTAGTAAATCATATCGAAATTCCTAACGCGATTAGTCCTAGTAGAAATCCAGCACCATCCATTGCAAACACTGAATAATGTCAGGTCACAAAATAAATAATAATGACTGTTTCACAATTATATCACATGACTATAATTCAAGGTTATTGAAGGTGATGGAAGCACTTTGGATTAATCACATACAGCCTAAACCGTGTGTACAAAAATCAATAGACTTCAATCTTCGCCTACGATGGACTACATGACCTTTTAAATATGATTGGTCATCAGTATGTATTTTTGTGTTTTTAATTTAACTGAGTAAATGTCATGGACTTTGTTTTATTATTGTTAACCATGTTAGTTGTAAAGCGGTTGTACAGAAACTACGAAATGATATCATCTCGCGAAATTTGTCTCTTTAATGCCTTATTCAATGTCATCAAAGGGACTAATTGTTTTTAAATATATTTGTTTTGCTTAGATAAATATATCGAAAATGACGAACTGTGGAGAAATATGTTTTATTACGTGTCATCTCAACAAATCAACACTTCTGAACACAAAGTATAATCTAGCCGTTATGATCAGGAAATAAATAATAATATGTTGAACTAAGAATTTACATATGAATGTAGCTTCATTGATTTCCTCACCTGGTGTAACTGTTGTTGCGGCTGAAACGAATCATAATGAATAATGGAATTGTTTAGCTACACACATTTCCGTTACAGATAATAAGTAGGAAGCTATCTAATGAGGTGGCATAATACTGGTGCGCAACAAGTGGGCTCTCACACTAAAATTCACAAGCATGTTTTGCATTCGACCTCGATTGAATAGTAAGTCAACGAAACATTTTCTACCATAGTAACTAATTTTAGGCTTCTTGATTTTTTCCACTTTCTCTTCATCATGTGACTCAAATTAATATAAGGTTCATTTGGGTGTATTTGTGTTCCGCCTCCTCATGGTGCTATTGCTCCATTGAAAAGCTGTTGTATCATTACACTGGTTCAACGGAAACCACCACTTTCTTTACTTTCATCCGTCACCTTCAAAGCCCTGTCACTCAAATCACTCTTAATTTTTTAGTCTGATTATCCTACTCGCGTATGAACCATTACGTCATCGTGTTGAGTCTGAAAGCAGAGTCTCGTGTGGTGAGATGGTAGTAAAGTTTACTCCAGAATATCGCTGTACACGCAGAAAAGAAAAGAATATAATGCGGTATTCACACTTCAATAATAATGAAAACAGTATGTTCTACAAAACTTGAGGACACACATCACAGTTGACAGTCATCTAACTGAAGTTTATCAGTAATGGTTTGGTCTTTTGTTTATATCCAACCAACAAAAGATGATCCTGTTAGTGGCGAAACCAAAACCGGTCTGATGAATGCCATTGTCTTCGGATATTGTTGATAGCGAGTTCTCAACTGACTAATCTTATCCATGCTCTTCAGGATACTGAGAAAAGTGAAAGTACTCAACGAGAACATCAGGTGTCGAGCATAAATAGTTGAAACCCTACTGTGTGCTAGTCATAGCAAAAGAAGTTTCAAATATGATGAAGTCAACATTCGACTTGTTATTATTATTATTATTCGATTGCCACCTTTCAGACAAAAACCATCGCTCCTGTAAATTTCAAGAACCTAGTAGTTTGAAGGCACAAAAACAGAATTAATTCATTTTGAAAGTGATCAATAAAGATACTGCGTGGAAAATAAGAAGTTAACACAATGATTTAAATAATGACGTATAACTCACCAGTCGTACTGCTTCCTGCAACAAAGCATACACAAAACAATAAGGAATCGTGACACAAGTTTTATGGTATCTGAGAGTAATCTGCAAATAGTCTAAACATGTGTTCTGCATGTGTGTTAAGTTCACAGATGTAGTTAATTTCAGTGCAGTTGATCTCCATAACGACTTCAGTGTAACGAATGCCTACCTTGCTTTGATATACTCTTGAGCTTCTCCTGAAGTTGAAACGATGCTTCTCAGATCAGTGCGTAAAGGGGTTTACTGTATTCAGATTTCTCGCATATGTATTGACTGTCTTCTGTTGTTGCTGTTATCACTGGTGCTGTTGGCCACGAATTCTCACCACCTCTTTTTTCTTTATGTTCTCCTGAAATCCTACATTTGATGCTCATTCTGCCAAATTGTTGCTTTTTACTGACATATATTCCAGTATGTGGGAAATCAGACAAAAAACATCGGCGAAGTCAAGATTGTCGAAGTATTTGTTGTGTGGTTCCATTTTATGCCTGTTTCCTCGCTACACACTCCATGTCGCATTTTACAGTATACGGAAAACAAAAATATCGTCAGAGATAGAAGAAAGATTCGCCTCACTGCCATCTTCGCACATCGTTCAAATATAATGGAAATTTATCGGTTTTGTAAAACGGATTTATATACACTTGTATTTGTAATAAAAGATAATAAATAGAAGTTATAAAACTTTTGAACAGAGAATGTTGATTGAGATACAGATTCCAAAAGCGACTTAAGTAACTGATGCAGACGTCTTGTCTTTCGACGAAAACAGACATATGTAGAGGGATATCAGCAGATATGCATGGGCTAGGCTGTCTTCATCAACAAGAGGTAAATCAATTAAAGTATAATTATATATCATTAGTTTACACACAATGATAAGTTTTGTTACTGGTAATATTTCGAGCAAAATTACTGCTGGTGTTCACACCACTCTTGGAATTGTGTTATTGTTGATTTATTGAAACATAATTATACCTCATTTGATCTAATCCACAATGCTAAAACTTTTTACTGATAAAATAAGGTAACTCAATGACATAATAAAATAATAATCTGAACATTTCTGTGATAAATATATATATTTCTTTCGTTTTTTTTCTGTTACAACAGTCAGCTTCTTCGTTTCAAGGTACAGCTGAGACTGAAGAAATTCATTTCGAAGTTTATCAAAAGAGATATTGTAAGGCGAATGATTAAAAAACACAATCATTTAAACAGTCGCGTTTAACTCACTGCTTCCTACAATCAAGCATACATAAAAGAATGAAAGATATGACACCGGCCACATCTGAACTCATTATTATTATTATTTACTTTAATTCCTAGAAAACATAAGGCTTCAGTAGCACGTCTCTATTGCGTTCGGTTATTGGCTAACGTTTTTACCTGGCTTCAATTCTGCACACATGCTTTCATCTCGTTCACCTTTGGCAACCAACTCGCTGCTTCTCTTTCGGGTTACACTCGAGCAATGGCTTGTCTAGTAATGTCACTTCATGGTTTCCCCAGAGTATGGTCAATACACCTCGATGTTTTCTTACTTATTTGTAACACAACTGGTTCCTGGTTTGTTCGCTCCCAGATATCCCTGTTGCTGATCATTTTCGGTCATCTTATCTTGAGTATTGGTCAAAGACAACTGTTAATGAAGGTCTGAAGTTTGTTTGAGATGCTATTTTAATGACTGACAGAGACTACACTGACACCCAATTTTCCCATTTGAATAATCATTAAAGATTCCTACATAATGAACTCTTCTCAGGTTGTGAAACATATTGAAGTGAATATTTACCATATAAGTAGTTCGGTTTATATATATATATATATATATATATATATATATATATATATATATATATATATATATACATGGAGAAATACATATGCGACTAATGTATTAGGCGGTAAATTTTCATTTGACATTATAATGATGAAACTATTGGCTATATGCACATAAAATATTTCGTATTCTCAGTGAAAATTATTACTTATTTTCGACGTCATTTTTATCCTTATTTGAAGCAGAATTTATCACCCATATGAAGATTGAATTGAATACTTTATCTGGATTATTTTATGGTTAGCTGTCTGATGAGATTTCGTTTGCAGTCGAACAACATGTAACTGAGAAAAAATGAATTGACCATAGAAAACCTAAAAGTGGACTACATTCCAATTTTCGAAAATATGGTAAGCTGAAGGAAAGAGCAAATGGTTTACACGACTCATTTAGGACCTGATTCTCACAGTCCCAGCAAACGCTAAAATTTGTCTCCATCACAACCAAATAATAAAACACCGACGATAAATTCAAATTCGGCCTAATTCTGTTGAAAGGAAAATTCGCCAATTTGTTTGCATAAGCAGAGCAATTTAACATTTCTGGAATTTTATGAAGTACTCTTTTTTATTTCTACAAGGCACTATATTCACCACAAATCACACCTAACTCTGATTATTGATTGTATGCATATTTCTGTTATTGTCATCAATAGTCTAAATAACTATATTTTATTGCTAAGATGCCTGCAGAAAAGACTAAATCAGTGTTTTTTTTTATCTTGAGATAGATGGCTGTAAACAACGCGCACTTGTGTGTTCAGTTTACAGAATTCCCTAGTCTTATGATTATTTATTTTATTTTGTTATTATATTGTTAATCGAAGTTTGTGTTCTATCACTCCACTTAATGGTGTTGTATTTAATTTCATACTGCAGTCAATCTGATTATCTTTTAACCATATGACAATTGTTTTACATGCACATCACGATGAAGCAATGGAACATGCATACACGTGTTTATGAGAAGAATTAAGAATCATTATCAGTGGAAATGATTTGAATAATGAACAATTAAAACAATAATAATAATAAAGTGATTTGTATGCGATAGCTAATGGAGATTAGTGAAAACAAATAAAGTTGTTTATAATGAATGAATGAGTTTATTTTTTGAAGATAACTATGAAAGGATTAGTGCAGTGATGTGAAGGGTAAGAAAGAAGATTTCACTGTGGGTTAAGTTCTTCAGCTTCATAACTAGGATTTCGTACATTGAGATACTGATGTAGATGAGAGGAATCCTTGTTAGTGAAGCCGTGAATATCATTGCAATACTTCTTTCATAGTTAACTCTACCACATTCACGCATGCATACATTCATTCATTCAAAATTGTTGACTTAACTGTCGTCCATCAGCTATCGCATACAAATCACTCTATTATTATTATTGTTATTGTTTATTCATCAAATCGTTTCCATTGATAGAGATTTTTAATTCATCTGATAAACATGTACATGCATGATCCATTGCTTCATCTTGATGTGTGTAAAAACAAAATGCCACGTGATGAAAAGTAAATCAGTTTGTCTTCAAAATGGACCTATATACCACAGCCTCAGTTCGACTGAAAGAAAACTAATTTCTATTAGTTTTTCGTCAAAAAACCGAAGGACTTATATAGTCACTAAACTGATCACACACGTCGTCATTTTGTACAGCTTGATGAACTCATTGAATGATAATGAATCAGACTGCCAGTGGGTTATTGGAAGTTTGCGTGCAAACGTGTAAATATTTGCATATTCTCATTACGACACTGTGTAAATGAAATAAACTGTCGAAATTAGGTTAGAATTTGACAAACTGACAGGACTCCAGGTGAACAAAAACAACACGGAGGTGATGAAAATAACCAACCAACAACAACAACAGCAATATCCAGCGCCAACCACCATCAACGGGAGGGATTTGAAAGAGGCTACTTCATTCATTTATCTAGGGAGCATTCTCTCAACTACAAGAGGAACGGACGCGGATGTCAAATCGAGAATCAGGAAGGCGAGAAACATATTCATCAACCTGAAATCAATCTGGAAATCTTCGTCACTTAGCATCAACAATAAAAATTCCGATTTTCAATAGAAACGTGAGGTCATTTTTTCTATACAGATCAGAAACTTGGAGGGTCACAAAGAATATTTCCAACAGCCTGTTGCAGTCCTTTATCAACAACTGTCAACTATCGCTCTATACTGAAGATCAGATGGCCGGGCCGGAAAGAATCACCAGCAAGGAACTATGGGAACAAACAAAGCTAGAACCAATCGCCCAACAAATATGCAAGAGAAAGTGGAGATGAATCGGACACTCTGTGAAGAGACCGCTGGGTGACATCACGCGTCAAGCCCCCGAGTGGACCGGAAAGGGAAGCGGCGTGTGGGACGTCCAAGGGTGACATGAAGGAGATCGTGTGAGAAGGATTTGAGACAGTATGGACTAACATGGATGTAGGTGAAACGTACAGCAGAAGACAGAAGCAAATGGAGACGTGCGGTTGGAGCCCTATGTTCCACTAGGAACCCAAGGGAGCAATAATAATAATAAGTTGCTAGATGATAAGTTGTCTCATGTGCAGGAGGATATTATCAAGGCTTGAATGTGAAAAAAACATCTCTTATATCTGAAATGTCGCATTTTTCTGGTTATGCATATAACTTGGCGAATTTACTCAACTATATCAGATGTATGATCCATGTTCGAATCCTTCTTGCTAATGAGCCTATCGGGGCTATTGTCTGTTAAAACACCTACATTGAATTACTTTATTAACCAAGTATCATTTTTGATTAGCTAGCAACGAGACATAGAGAGGCAAACTAGTTAATCTAAACTAGTTATCTCAAATGACAATTAGCTATATTCTTCTTCATATCATGAATCTGAGCAGATTTATGTCGAGATTGTATAAAGCTGTATAATGCGATTTCGGTGCAATTGTGTTTGCTAACCTAGATTTTTTATTTGTGAAGCTTTCACCGGCCTACTATGTAACATCTTCCACGTATTCTTCAAATTGAAGTGAGCTTTACGAATTCTTGTGGATTACATTTTTGATTTTTTTAGCTTTATCAGAGGCATTTTGTTCTTGAAATTTGAGTTGTGCGTGTTGTTTTTTTCTAAGTTTTACCATTGGTAAGCTTTTTTGGCTCATCTATCAGGTCAGATCACAAAGTCTGATCAAATGCGAATGAAACCTGACGTATCTGTCATACGCAGTTTCTTTGACATGCTCAAAATGTACAGACTAAATATCCCGTGATGGCCAGCTGTATCAATACCAGAAACCCTAACATAAAATTTGTCCGAAGGACTACACAGAAATCTGAAAGAGCTAACAGATTTCTGCAGTAATTCCAACAGATCTGCTATCCAATTTCTGCGGAAAATCAGGGACATTCAAAAAGATGACCAAGAAATAACGATATATTTTAACGTCACTGCAATCTATACCTCAACTGGACAGAAACTAGCAGTTACTCAGCAGCGTCGAACACGCTCAATAACAATCAAAAATACAACAGAAAATTGGATGGAATACATAAACCTGTATTTAACGACGGGCAAATATTTGAGCAAACTAAGGGATAAACTACGGGATCGCCATTATAAGGTTTGATTGCAGAAACAGTGACTCAAAGAATCGAAAGCATAATCCCACCAAAGATCAAACTCTGAATTTGGACATGTTACGTAGTTGACACATTCGTATTCATCCAAAGTAAAACTAGTAAAACGAACTCACTACTTAATTATCAACGTCATCAACGACATCAAATTCACAAGAAAGGTGCTATTCAAGAGCGATATCCCATTTCGTAAACACTTCAGTCAAGAGACCAACCACAAAGGAATTAGAAAATCAAGTTACAGACCAAAAACTGAATTACAACGGCAAAAATCCAATAACACACAAAAGGAATTGTATACAAACATTATTCAAGAAGGCCAGAACTCATCACAGCATACTCACTCAAAGGAAAAATGAAGAATGCTATCTCTTTCAAAAGAATGGATATCCACGGAATTTCATCAAAAAAAATACCCGAGGAGTAAACTACCCAGTTACAGACCTCATGAAAAGCCGAAAAAATCGCTCTACCGTTTTTAATGGACAAAGCAGAAATCACTGACAGCTTCTTCAATTATTTAGCAATTGATGTTGCAGACAAACCTGCAAATTCACTTTAGCAAGCTCTGTTTCAACTCAAAGCGCAAGTAGATAAAATCGATTTCATCTACAGAACCAATTTCAATTACTGTGTTAAACACTACACTGTTAAAAGTGGACGTCCCATACGACTTTGCACCCAAGAATATAAACAAGCCATCAAAAGACATGACACCAACTCTGAGATATATCTTCACAAAAACAACAGCTGACATAATTCGATTGTGACAGTGTTCAAATAATTTACAGAAAAAACACCAAGAATGATAGAGAATGTATGGAAGCCTGATATTCCAGTGAAACATGAGTCAATAGACACATCGACATCGACAAAGTTTACCAATCAACAAGGAGGAAATCTCATGCACACGACGAGTACGAATATGCATAGCCTAAAGGGTGTGGAAAAGTGTGAAAACTACTAAATTCGTACACTGTTACCAGGAGAGATAACCGATAAACTAGCGGAGAAAATCGAAGAGCTCACTTCAAATTTAAGTATGCGCAGAAGATGCTGACTAGTATGGTAATACATGTTTCGTGAATAAAGCACGTAACCCAGAATACGACAACATAGAAAACAACCACCTGAGCTATAAAGTTGCTCCATTTTTCCTTATCATCACTACCTAACGTCTCATTTATATGCATTGAAGAAAAGGCTTTTTGACTTATTTATCAGCTGTCAATAGCTGATGAACAGCAATGCAGTGAATCTCATCATGTCTAATTCAACTCTAAATACGTGGCTTCGCACTATCACGAAATTATTCATTGAGCAATCGCTCAAATCACTCACGAGATATAAGATTTATCAGAGCAAAAGTTACAAAATGAATTTTATTTTGATACAGTTAACATAATCTACACACACACACGTTAGGTGGAAATTTCATTTATTCATCTAACATATTGCATCACATAACGAAAACACCTGTCAATGTTAACCTGAATGGCTCATCCTGTATACAGCTATTCTGAGGCACATTCATTTGTGTTACACTTGCTAAGCCAGTGTTGTTGGGAAATATTAGGTGGATTCCGATTGCATTTCAAAAACGTATTTAAAGTGATTTAATACCATCGTAAGGTTCTCTGTTTCAAGCATGAGTTGAAACAGAACTAGCTCATTTCAGACATAAAAGCAAGAAATATTTTATAATAAATAAATGTCATTGTTTAACTCACCTTGTGAGCCGCTGCCTACAATGGAGTATACATGAAAGATAAAAGTTAATCACACCAGCTACACTTGAATTCAAAGTTTCTACGAATTTTATGTGCAGTCCACACAGATATTCTATATGTTTATTAAAATAAGAGGTGTTGTAAACGAACTTAAACATTGAACGTTGTTTCATTGGCCTTGGTCACCATTCGTAGGCAACTCGAAGGCACGAATGGTTTAATCGTTTACAGGTTCGAAGAAAACAAAAGAATACGAATAAAAAGGACAGCATATTTATTGTATAATATTTGTTTACAGAATATGTACTAACCCCGATTTTAATTGCCAAATAATACAACTTCCTCCCTACAGCCACTGGCGTTTTGGAGTTTAAGTCGAGATTGAGTCGTAGTGATTATCGGTTCAGAGCGTCTTCGTAACAATAGGATCTTAGGGTTAAGTTCTTTGAGATAATCATCATTTCTTCAATCCAGCCGTGTTTTTATTCACACATGGCTTGGTTAAACATATGCAGAATCGACAATTTCCAGTTAGCAATAAAGCAATATACTAATTCAGAAAACTAGTAAACTCACCATCAACAAGTTTGCAGACAAAACAGACAGCAAAAATAGCTCCTATCAAACGCAGAGAAACCATTTTTCGATCACACATGAAGATATGCAAAATATTTTGCTTTAAATAATTTTAAGTAGTCATGGAAACACCAGTAAAATGTATGCATTGTTTTGATGTTAGACCCAATCAGAACGAAGCAAACACACATTAGACACAGCAACCTCATTCTATTGCAAGTATACGGTAAATATTTGATGCCGTTGATACAAAAATGATGAAAGTAGTGAATCAAAGCCTCGTGGCCTCATTACTACCTCATCGAATTATGTGATTTCAATGCAATACGCATGAGTCAACTAATTGTTTAAAAGAAAAAACTGAGGGTTTCAGGTATTAAATTCCTGTTATGCCTGAGACGTTCGCTCGTCAACAGTATAAGTTTGTCGTAGGCAAAGGCATTTTTAGTGCAGTGATTGTAAACGACTGTGAAACATATGGAAAAGCTGCTAAGTGATTTTATTGCCATGTGTGCTTAAACGTGATCGATCAATGATTCTCAAAATTACCTTTGTGTTTAAATCAAGTTGGTTGTTGTGTACATTAGAAAGTGTTTAGAGTATCTAGCTACAGCAAATATTCTGAATCCTGTTCTTGACACTTAGAATACGTCTATTATGAAATCCACGAGAAAAATATCAAGGCTTCACAAATCCAAATATTAAATGCCTTGAAAATATCTTGGTGAAATTTACTTCTGTTAGACAACTGTATTAAAGTTTAATTTCGTCCGCGTATTCTGTGATCAACTGCGTCCGTGGCATAGCGGTTAGGACGCTCGCCAACCATGCACGTGGTCCTGGGTTCGATCCCCGAACGACGCACTCCTTTACCTCGCTAAGCCAGAAATAATGCTGGTAAAGAGGAATGGTTAGGCGTGAGGCTAGCAACACCATCCTGTAAAATAAACATTGCTACAGAAAATGCAAGCCACTAAGTTGAATCTCTATGTTCCACTGGGCAACATGAAGGAAAATAATTCTCTGATCAAAATAGTTTCCACTTCCCCTGTTCTTCTCTGACAGCTAGTCCGTCCTTTAAAAGACTGAGGATATCTATATGTTTTTGTTACACCTACGTTATACACAGTTTAATCCGTTTCTTTCAACTATGCACTGTTTTGTCTGATTTTGAAGACTTATTATTCACTAGTGGCTCATTATTTCAGGCAAGTTTTGCATTATGATTTGATACGACTTCTATCTTATGTAAGACATGAATTTTTTGGCGTTTCAAACTTAATCGGACAGCTGCTGTTTCATTCTAGTTTGGGAATCATCGGCAGTACGCACCCAATGGGATTCGAACCCAGAACCTTCCGGCATACGAGCTTTCCTTGTAACCGGAAGGTCCTGAGTTCGAATCCCATTGGGTGCGTACTGCCGATGATTCCCAAACTAGGATGAAACAGAAGCTGTCCAATACTCCCTGGTTTTCAATGCTTCTCTAACTGATTTCAATCCGTGATCAACTCGTAAAAACGTAACTAAACCTTACAAACCAAACTACAGAATATATGTAGGTGTCACAATATGACGGTATAGATCATGGAAGTACTTTAGACAATATCTGCAAATTATTCCCTACTGGACTATAATGTAAAAGCAAAGTCAAACTGAAGCCAACAACCTTATTCAATACATATTTTAAAACAATCTGAAAAACATTTTGTAACGACAAAGCATCTCATCTGTTTAAGACAAAGGTGGTTAGGTCTATTGCTAGCTAAATATTAGTAAAACGTTTGTTGATTCGGCGTAAGACCAAATAAAGTACAATTATGTTTCAATAGTTTACACACAATGATAAGTTTTTTTTCATACCGGTAGAATTTTGAGCCTAATTACTCCCCGTGTTCAGACCATTATTGAAATTGCTCTGTTTTCACATTTATGATCTGTACTCATATATATATATATATATATATATATTGTTCATTATGTTTTGCTCATTCCTGTTTTTATATTCAGAATTATATTACACGTTCATCCATGTTTTTTATTCATTATATTACAAGTTGTTGGTTGTTGTATTGAGTCACCCTTGTTGCATGTAATCAGAAATAAAAAATCACCGATATCTACTAATAAGGCAAATGCAGCGCTCACACATGCCTCAAAAATATTCATCAAAGAAAACCTACGTGGAATTATACGCATGATATTGACAATAAGACAAGATATTGATGAAGCAAAAGAATGATCTAAAGGAGCATTTGAAAAGGAAAAAGATGAAAGCATACTAGAAGTTGCAGAAAAACTAAAGAAAATACCTCCGCGACAACCTAAAGGCTAGAATACTAGATTCATTTGAGTTAGTGAGGCAACTGAGAAACCACTAAAATAGAGGAAGAGTAAATACTAGTCAGCTCTAATGTAAACAGTCTTTATACGAAAATACCCAATAAAAAGGCGATGAGTAGACTGAAACAGAAACTAAAAGAAGATAATATTCTAAGAGACAGAACACAACTATCCGTAGAAGAAACAATAAAAGGGGTGGATTTCTGTCTAACAACAACATATTACACACTCTTAAGGAAACAATATACCAGCAAAAGGAGAAAGTTCCTATGGGATCGCCTATCTCACCAATAATAGCGAAATATTCATAGTTTATTGGGAAGAGAATTCCTTTAAACCATTCAGGTCATCACTTAAATGTTGCTCGAGATATGTGAACGACACACTAGTAATAGTGGCGAAAACGATATTGAGAAACTCTTCTCACACATAAACAGACACGCCGACTCAATAAAATTCACAAGAGAAACAGTGAGTGAAATTGATGAACTACCTATAATAGAATGCAAAATACAAAGAATGACAGATTGTAGCCAAAAAACGACGACGTATAGAAAAATCACACACTCTGGAAGAATTCTTGATTATCAATCAGCTCATCCACCCACGGCAAAAGGAGGATTAATGCAAGAACTTGCAGATAGAATACGTAGACTGGCAACAGCATCAGAGGACCAGTGTAAAGAAATAAACGTTCTATTCAAAATGCTACTCGAAAACAACTGCCAAAAAGAATTTATGAAAGATAAAGATATTATAGAAAAGATTTGTAGCTCAGGTGGATGATTTTGATGTGGTTTTGTTCTCTGAGCTGGATGGTTAGTTTGCGAAGCTTTCATCACCTTACTGGGTGACATCTTCAGCGCATACTTCAATTTGAAGTGAGCTTTTAGATTTCTCCACGAGTTTATTAATCATCTCTCCTGGTGACCTTGGACGTGATTGGTTGTTTGTGTGTGTTTTCACACCTTCTAGGTTACTTGTATTGGAACCGGTTGTTTCTTTGACTTGAATTTTGACCCTTTGTCTGTGAAGTTTCTTTCTTATTGGTTGATAAATTTTGTCTATGTCGATGTGTCTATTGATTGATGATCCACTGGAATGCCAAGCTTCTAAAAATTCTCTAGCATTCTTGTTATTTCCTTTGTCTAATATTTGAACGTTGTCCCAGTCGAATTGATGTCCGTAGTTGTCTGTGTGTAGTGAAATGAGGGAGTGGATATCATGTCTTTTGACGGCTAGCTTATGTTCGTGGATACGAAGACGAAGGGGACGTCCACTTTGGCCGATGTAGTGTTTTTCGCAGTTGTTACAGTTTATTTTGTAGATGATGTTGGTTTTATCTTCTTTCGCTGTTGAGTCTTTTGGTTGACATAGAATTGAGTGAAGCGACTTTGTTGGTTTGTGTACGACGTCAACTCCTAAAGGTTTGAAGAGTCTTGTAGTGATTTCTGAGATATCTTTTATATATGGTAAGGCAATTTTCTTTGTGTTCTCCTTGGTGGCTTTTGCTTTGGTAGGTTGGCTTGGGGGTATATGTCTCTTGATGAAATTCCGTGGATATCCATTCTTTTGGAAGACGTCCATGAGATACTTTTCTTCAATTTTTCTTAAGGTGGGAGTGCTGCAGTGAGTCCTTGCCCTCTTGAATAGTGTTTGTATGCAATTCCTTTTGTGTGTTATTGGGTTGTTGCTGTTGTAATTCAGTATTTGGTCTGTGTGAGTTGATTTCCTATAAACTTGAGTTTCTAATTCTCCTGTAGTTGTTCGCCTGACTAAGACGTCCAAAAATGGTATTTTGTTCTCGGATTCCTCTTCTCTTGTGAATTTGATGTCGTTGAAGACGTTGTTTATTAAGTTGTGAGTTTTATCTAATTCGTTTCTTTTGATGATTACAAATGTGTCGTCGACGTAGCGTATCCAAATCTTGGGTTTGATCTTTGGTAGAATTATATTTTCGAGTCTTTGCATCACTGCTTCTGCAATCAAACCTGATATTGGCGATCCCATGGGTGTTCCTTTGACTTGTTCATATATTTGGCCGTTGAATTGGAAGTATGTTGTTAGGCATAGATTTATGCATTCCATCCAGCTTGTGTGTTGCATTTTTGATTGTTGTGGCAGTTGTTCGTCGTTGCTAAGTAGTTGCTCCATGGTTTCTTTTGCTAGGTTTTGTCCGATGGATGTATATAATGCTGTCACGTCGAATGATACCATTATTTCTTGTTCATCTATTTGGATGTCTCTGATTTTCTCTAGGAATTGGATAGCAGAGTTGATGGAGTGATCGCAAGATTCCGTTAGGTGTTTTAGTTTTCTGTATAATTCTTTGGATAAATTATATGTTGGAGTTCCTGGGAGTGATACAATTGGTCGTAATGGGATATTTGCCTTGTGTATTTTGGGTCTGCCGTAGAATCGGGGTAGGACTGGTCCATTGGATTTCATTCGCCATTGGTCTTGTTTTGTGATCTGTCCAGTTTTGGTGAGCTTGTTTAAGGTCCTTTGGATGCGGTTATCCAATGTTTGTATGGGATTTGTTGGGAGTTGTTGATATACATCTTCATCTTTGAGTAGTTCTTCAGCTTTCTTGGTATATTCTTCTCTGTCCATGACTACTGTTGTTCTTCCTTTGTCGGCTGGTAAAATGACGATGTCCTTCCTATTTTTCAGCTTTTTGAGGGCCTTTAGTTCTTGAGCGTTGAGTTGTGTGTGTTGTCT